AATCCATATAAACGCGTGGATTCATTCATCGCGGCTTTAAATGCTAACCATTCCGCGGCTGAGCCGTTAAAAATAGGCAAGTCCTGCGTTTGTTTCGCGGCGGCTGGTCTAACCCTAACTATGCTTTCTAAAGCTTCCTCTAGCCGTTCTATACCCCTATCCTTCCCTCGCGGGGTGAGCGACCTATCTCTATCCCTATTTTCTTCTAGCCTACGCTGTGGCGCCGGCGACCTATGTACACCTACATCCCTATGACACGGCGACGGTAATCTACGATCCGCAAGGCGATGTGGCGATTTATCTCTGCCTACATCATTACACGGCGACGGTGATCTACGATCCGCGTGGTGATGTGGCGATGGCGATCTACGTGCACCTACATCCTTATGACACGGCGAAGGTAATCTACGATCCGCGTGGCGATGTGGCGATCTATGTGTAGGCGATAGAGTGCGGCGTTGGACGCGCGACGGTGACGTAACCCGTACACGACGATCCACCTGGTTCATTTCTACGGCGACTCCATTGTCCCTCTGTATCGTATTTACGCGGCGCGGTTGAACGTCATTCGCAACCAACCTCCCCTGGGCATCTTCAGCGTGGTCGTAATCGGTTCCCCTACTCGGCGGGGCCTGCTCTATCTCGATGCGGGGCGCGGGCTGAGACGGGTGGTAGGGCGGCTCCCCCCGCACAGTCTCTACGTTTTCTAACCACCTATCAACGCGTACCCTATTTTCGACTAATTCGTCCTCGTTTAGACTTTCCCTATCCGTTTCTTCTTGCAGGTGAGCGATATCCCTAGCGTACTTCTTCTTGATGAGATCTTCCTCGATTTGCAATTGCTTCCTCCTAATTGCAGCTAGCTCCTCCGCGGTATTATACTCGATTTGCTTTAACTTTGCTATTGCGCTAGCTGTCGACCGTGCTGAACGGACTGAACGGACCGACGGGGCGCGGGGCACACGGGCCTATGTACAACGTCTGCTACAGGCGCGACGGTACGCACTATCGAACTAGTCTCTGTAATCGGAAGATCTTCTATTATCGCGGCGAGCGTTTCTGTGCGCGGCGCGGATGTGCTAACTTCTCCCAAGCGATCGGTTGTAGACACGGACATAGCGGGGCGCGGCGGCGCGGGCGCGGGCGCGGGCATAGATGCGGGCGCGAGCGGGGGCTGCGGCGCGACGGGGGGCGCTTGTGCCAACGCGAGATAATCGGACGGGGACGCGGGTGCTTCCTCGAATATCCTCATTCCTACTGGCGTTTCGTCGTCGTTCCGTGTCTTCTGGCTTCTTGTCTTCCGTATGATGGTGTCCCTCGGTGCGACCTCCGATCGTCTTCAAAAAGACGCACGTATTGGACGCCGTTCCCGCCTCAAGGGCGTTACCAGATGGTCACAGTTTGGCACCGTTAGGGAGCAACCACCCGGCCGCGAAAACGCGGTTTAAGAAATAGGAATTGTCTGGAAACAGACAATATATATGACGTAGATGTAAGCAAGAAACGAGGAAGGAGTCAGCACCGACGATCTTCTCTCTTCGTCGACGTACTTCTTTCTTCCTCGAAGATCTTCTGTAATGATCTTCTTTCTTCTGTAATTATGTTCTCTCTTCTATAATTATGTTCTCTCTTCTATAATTATGTTCTCTCTTCTATAATTATGTTCTTTCTTCAATAATTATGTTCTTTCTTCTATAAATATGTTCTTTCTTCAATAATTATGTTCTTTCTTCTATAAATATGTTCTTTCTTCTTTCTTCTGGCTTGAATCCGGCGACGATGAACCAAGAACTTATTAGGGATCGCAGTGGACTGTATTATTGACTACGCTAGGGAACTGCTTAAAGAAAAGATGGTACTGTCGAACTATACTGTATTGAAACTATTTACAATATGGCACTATTAACTACACTATACAGAGGGGAGTCTTCTTAATTTCTATGGAGTCTTGATTCTTCTTGATTTCTCTTGCTGTTTCTTCTCTTCGAGTACCGCTTCCGAAATGAACAGCTCACAGACCAAGACGCCCTTCTTACATGTCGCCAGAGAGCGTCTCGGTTGGTGAGTAGCGTCGTAAGGCGATGCCGCGCGCTGATTGGTCGGCGACATCGCGTGATCTGCTGCCGGTGTGCGGGGTGCGCGGGGCGCACCGGGGTGTGAAGGGGCGACGGGCGGCGGCCTCCTCGCTGTCCGCTTACAGAGCCGATCAGAAAGAACTCGGTCGTCGACGATTCGAACCGCTCTGCGCTGGATGCGTTCAAGTGAAAGGAGCTGGCACTGGGTTGCCCCGGCCCAGAGATGAGAACAGTATTCCATGTGGGGCCGAACTTGCGCTTTGTAAAATTGCAAGCGATGTGCCGGCATGAAATACTGTCTCGCTCTGCTGAGCACGCCAAGCATTTTAGAGGCCAATTTGGCCTTCCCTTCCAAGTGACCACGAAACTGCACACTATTCGATATGTCGACGCCAAGGATTCCGATACTAGCTGAGGCAGCAAGGGGAGTGCCTTGAAACTGAGGAGATACGACAAAGGGGTTCTTTTTAGCGGTAAACGCGCAAACTTGTGTCTTCTGGGGATTGAACTGGACTAGATTTGGTCGGCCCCAATCCGAGACTTTGTTAAGCAAAGACTCGACTTCAGACACAAGTTTGTCCCGGTACTCAGCGACGTTTTCCCGAGAAATATTGGCACGGCCGGTATATAAGGCATCACCAGTGCTGTCGTCCGCATAGCAATGAATGCTACCAGTTAGCAACATATCATTGATATGCAGGAGAAACAGCGTTGGTGATAGCACGCAGCCTTGTGGAACACCAACGTTGATAGGCTTGAAATCAGAGCATGCACCATCTACTACGACCTTGATGCTCCGATCAGCAAGGAAACTGGTGATCCATTTGCACAATTTCTCGGGAAGCCCATAGGAAGGAAGCTTCGAAAGAAGCGCTTTGTGCCAGATCCGATCGAAGGCCTTCGCTATGTCCAAACTAACGGCCAATGCCTCCCCCTTGGACTCTACTGGCTCCGCCCATCTATGAGTCAGATAGACTAGAAGATCACCAGCTGATCGACCTCGACGAAAACAGTACTGGCGGTCACTAATCAACTGGTGATCCTCAAGGTACCTCATGAGCTGGCAGTTTATAATGGATTCCATTATTTTGGAGAACAAGGAGGTGATGGCAATAGGCCTGTAGTTGGACGGGTCTGAGCAGTCGCCTTTTTTAGGGATCGGGTGGATCAAAGCTGTCTTCCATGAATTCGGGACTACGCCTTGGGAGTAGGAGTACCGGAAAAGACGCGTTAAAACCGGTGCCAACTCCGGAGCACACGTCTTCAGCACAATGGGAGGGACTCCATCGGGCCCACTCGACTTGCTGACGTCCAGGGAGAAGAGTGTTTTGCGAACCGAGCGCTGTGTAAACCGCACATCCGGCATGGAGCACTCACATCGCGGGATGGTCGGCGGTGTGTTCCCCCCGTCATCAAGTGTCGAGTTGGATGCAAAAAGAGAGCTCAACAGATCGGCTTTCTCCTTTGCGGCATGGGCCAGTGAGTCGTCCTCTCTGTGCAGAGATGGAAGAGATGGCTGACAGAAGTTCCCTTGGACAGCCTTGGCGAGAGACCAGAATGCACGGGTTCCCGAAGGAAGGCGAACTAGCTTCTCGCCAATTCTGCCGATGTGCTCAGACCTTGCCTTGGCAATGACGCTTTTGAAAGACCTGGAGGCGGAGTTATACTTCTTTTTAAGTGCGCTGGTGTTTACATCCCGAGACGTTGATGCGTCAGCCCAGGCTCGGTAGCACTCCTGCTTATAGCGTGATGCTATTTTACAGGAGCGACCAAACCGTGGCTGGGATCTGCCACCGATGGGCACCACAGAGGATGGAATAAAAAGTTCCATACCCTGAAGTACCACGTCAGCAACAGAATTGGCAACAACGCTGGGATCTTCCGGCGAGGAGCAAACCCGCCCCCAAGGGTAGGATGCAAAAAAAGACCGCATCCCGTCCCAATCAGCTGACCTATAGTGCCAAACACGGCGGCAAGCTGCAGATCGCAACTGCGATTAGAGCGTGAGTGGCACCGTACTTCGGATCAGACAATGGTCCGAAGAGCCCAGAGGGGCATCGACGGAGACCTGATATCCGTCCGGATGAGAGGTCAGCAGAAGGTCCAACAGGGAAGGTACATGGTCTTCCACATCTGGGATCCGCGTAGGCGAAGTAACCAGTTTTGTTAGACCATATGCCAAAGCAAAGTCATAGACAGATCTACCCGCATGATCGGTTAAACGAGAACCAAGCCATTCAGCGTGGTGGGCGTTAAAATTACCGAGTATCACGATCTCTGCGGATGGGACCTGTTGTAGCACGGAGTCTGCAGCCATTTGGACGTGGTCGATGAGTCGGTCTGTGTCGGGGGGGGGGGGGGGGGGATTGGGCCTCCGGCCACCTGCACTCACCAATCGCAACGCAGAGGTAAACCTCTACTTCACGCTGGTATTCTGTGAGGTCGTGGTACCACCCCGGTTCGAGCTGGCCCATCCGTGCGACAGCAAAAGCTACCGCTTAGCTCTACCATTGTTGATTTGTTAAGAACCCAAAAATAATGTTTACAAGTTTGTATAGCTTAGAAGTTTTCACTTCTGACGTAGCTATATCAGTAGTATAGTTGTAGCACGAATGGGTTGGCTCGACCGGGGAAGAACCATGCTCTCACAGAATAACAGCGTGAAATAGCATTTTGACACTTCTGTGTTTCGTATGATGAGTGTAGAAAACCAGATACCCATTTTCACTGGAAAAGAGGCATTCCATCTTAGTCCTCACGGGTGACGACGCATCTGCATTTTAATTCGCAAACAAGGATAGATGTAGATGTCTATGGGCCACAGCAACCACTTACCATCAGGTGGACTGTGTGCTCGTTTGTCACCCTTATTCTATAAAAAAAATATATGTACTATGTTATTACTGTTAAATATTGACATATCACCTTTTAACTGTGGCGGATTTGACATTTTTCAATAACAATCGCTTGACATCCTCGCCGGAGGGAAACGTGTCCACTGGCACCTGGAAAAAAATCATATCATAGACATATACAACACACATCATAGATAGTTTTGTTATCCTACTTTCATCATCATCATTACATCCCATCACAAGTCCACTGCTGAGATGGTAATACCGTCAACTATCCGTAGCCATAAGATTTTGACCGATACTGCCCATAGCGACCTCTTACGACACCAACGGGACAAAATTGAGGTAGCATTTCTTACGCAGTCATCTCACTGCACCGTCAAAGTAACCAGAGTTTATCGTCGAAGAAAGCTTGAAAATCAACCAATCACCAAATTGTGGATCTCACTCACCTCGAGCCTGATGGCGACTGCGTCAACATCGCCAACATCCACGCCGCCCTGGTGGTGGAACAAGATGGTGTCCGAACGCCGACCCGACTGAATGCAAAGGTACATCTCCTCGTTCTGTAAAGGAATTTGTAACAGAATGTTTGAAAATCACTGCGTATTGTAACGTATTTACTAAACAGTAAGCAAAGACAATAACGAATAAGAGAAATAAGTGTGGACCTGCTATAGAACCTTGAGGTAATCGAATATGTAATAAGTTATGTCTTATAAATTATTATATAACAAAAAAAAAAAATTTCATATAAAATCTATTTGAACACAAGCTTTTATAGGCGTTGCTAAGGTCAGCATCAGGGCCCATTATCAGACCAGCTCCATGGTGTTCCAAGCTAAAGGGCATAAAGAGCTAGAATAATTACAAGCTGTGAGGCATTCCAACTTGTCCACAGTGAAGACAACTCATCTGTTGCCTTATTTCTTTGTTTATAGTTGGCTACAGTTGTCCATGGACTGCAGCAGTCACTTATTATCAGTGAACTGCAATTTTGTTTGTCACTTCAGTTTTATAAAAAGTTTTATAAAAACCTAGTCAGGTCATAAGTATTGTCACACAGTAAAAAGTTTTCTTTTAGAATGCTGGCCACAAAAAAGTTTATTGAATTCGAATTTCGAATTGTTCATGAAAATAAAACTGTATACTTTTTAGAATTTTACTCATTTTTAAATATGGAGTGGACGCTTAAAGAAGACCGTGTTGCAGTTATTGCGTTGCATCGTTGCGGTTACGCGCCAATTAAAATTTTTGACATACTGAAAAATTTGAATATAACCAAAAGATTCGTTTATCGTACCATCAAACGATACAATGAAGACTCTAGTGCAGATGACAGGTCAAGAAGTGGTCGCCCTCGGTCTGTTAGGACTCCAGCAGTGATAAAAGCTGTGAAGGCGCGAATTCAAAGAAATCCCAAGCGTAAGCAGAAACTGTTGGCCATTCAGATGGGGTTAAGCAGAACCACGGTGAAAAGGGTGTTAAATGAAGACTTAGGGTTTCGGGCATATCGAAGAAAAACAGGACATCGTTTGAATGCTCGTCTAATGGACCTGAGACTGAAGAGATGCCGCGCTTTGTTGAAGCGGTACGCGGGAAAAAAATATCGGGAAATTCTTTTTTCGGATGAAAAAATTTTTACCGTAGAAGAGAGCTACAACAAACAAAATGATAAGGTGTACGCACACAGTAGTGAAGAAGCGAGCAACCGTATTCCGCGTGTCCAACGAGGTCATTTTCCATCCTCGCTCATGGTATGGTTGGGAGTTTCTTATTGGGGCTTAACAGATACATTTATGTGAGAAAGGTGTAAAAACGAATGCAGTTGTGTATCAAAATACAGTCCTGACGAACCTTGTGGAACCTGTTTCTCATACCATGTTCAATAATATTTCTTAAATTATTGAATTTCAATAATATTAATATTTCTTTTGGAATCCCACAGGGCAGTATCCTGGGGCCTACATTGTTCCTAATTTATATAAATGACTTATGCAATCTTCAACTTCAAAATGGTGTCATAATGTTATATTACTTATAAATAATCTCCTAAGTTTAAACGCAGATAAAACACAATATATGTTATTTTTAATGAGAAATAATAACAAATATTAAGGTCAGCAGGTACCTTAATATTTACGCTCATCATTGTAACTCGTATGACGACATTGCATGTGCATGTCCCGCTTTAACAAAAACAGACAATATAAAATATCTAGGTATCACGTTTGACACAAATTTAAATTTCCGCAAGCACATCGATTTACTTTGTGCTAGAGTTCGTAAATTAATATATATTTTTAAATATCTTCGTAACATCGCTGACTTCAAATTGATAAGACAGGTCTATTTAGCTTTGTGTCAATCCATACTCACTTATGGCATTACTTCCTGGGGTGGTGCTTCTAAAACAATATTGCTCCCACTAGAACGTGCTCAGAGAGCAGTTCTAAAGGTAGCCACTTTCCGTCCATTCATGTTTCCTACACATCAATGTACTTGGCATGTACTGTACTAACTGTCCGTCAGTTGTTTATCCTGAAAATCATATTAAAACAACATACCGAACTTCCATTTAACTTAAAATCCATAGACAGGAGAAGAATGGACTTAGTTTGTGTAAACCCTCAAACCAAACACGCATTTGTGAACAAATTTTACATATTTTTAGGACCCTTTCTATATAACAAGCTCAACAAGTCACTAAAGGTATATAGTCTAAGTTATAAGGACTGTAATATAAGTGTAAGGGAATTTCTAAATAAATTAAATTACGAAGACACAGAGAAGTTGTTAGATATACTAAAATAGTTTGTATTAATTGTAGGCAATAAATAATTGTTATTTAGTTATTTTATTTATTATACAATTTAGTTTAATTATTTAAATATATAGTGTCCTACATTATTAAACCGTTTGTATAAGTGATGTCTGAAACACAGGTACTCAACCTAGTTCAGGCAGGTAGCTAATATTATAAATATGAATTTTCTATCTTCTTTTGTAGATTCTACATTATTTAGCTACACATAGTTTTAATTTTATCATAGCATGTTATTTATGTTAGACTTATTGTTACTTTATTAATTGTAATCATTCTGATTCCTGTATGTAAACATGTGTAATTCGAAATGAAATAAATATTTATTTATTATTATTATTATTATTATTATTATTAATAACAGGCACTGGGTATTCCAACAAGATTCTGCGCCAGCTCATAGAGCGAAGAGCACACAAGACTGGCTGGCGGCGCGTGAAATCGACTTCATGCGGCACGAAGACTGGCCCTCCTCCAGTCCAGATTTGAATCTGTTAGATTACAAGATATGGCAACACTTGGAGGAAAAGGCGTGCTCAAAGCCTCATCCCAATTTGGAGTCACTCAAGACATCCTTGATTAAGGCAGCCGCCGATATTGATATGGACCTCGTTCGTGCTGCGATAGACGACTGGCCGCGCAGATTGAAGGCCTGTGTTCAAAATCACGGAGGTCATTTTGGTATATAAATGGTTACATAATGAATAAACTTGTATCAATTATTTTATATTAAACATGTGACAGAATTTATGACCTGACTAGGTATATTGATGCTGTTAATTATGATTAATTTAGTACTTATTATATTAAGATAATTATTATTAGAAATGCGCTATATAATAATAGAATAGAAACGAGTTGAATGTAAATTCAAGAAAAACAACTTCCTTCTGCGTGAATCCCATATCTCTGGTGCCCTTTGACCTACAGGACCCAAATTCAAACTCGACCGAGCTACTACCTCAAGGTATCCACATACCAAATTTAAAGTCTATCGGTCCAGTGGAACGGAAGTTATCGTGTCGGCACACAGACTAACACTAAATATACTGCCAGCTAAAACCATTAACTTCGTTTCAATGCTACGCAGAAGGAAGTTAATAAATATATATATATATATATACACGATATACACGCCACTATATATATATATATATATATATATATATAGTGGCGTGTATATCGTGTAGTGGCGGTTAAGAATATCCACTACCCCATATCTTCCCGTGGTTGTCGTAAAAGGCGACAAAGGGAAACAGGCAGGAGATGGGCAGCAGCATCTTCCTGGTAACAGCAAAAATACAATAAAAAAACTGCGGTTGCCAACCCGCTCGCCAAGCGTGGCAACTATGGCAATATACCCCCCATGATGAAAGTTACGAAGAGACGGCCCCCAGTCCCCGGCGGCCCCGCTATTCCTGGCTACGGTGGCGACCATGGTAACGGCGGGTCAGGGGGTGCTAAGAATCTCCGGTGGAGGTTCGGTTGCCACCTACAACGACTCGACCTGGCAACATACAACGCACGCACCCTGAGGACTGACGAGAAGATAATCCTCAAATCCGGCAACTTGCTCTATTACCGGGAGGGCGACCATCAGTCCCAAGGAGGTGTCGGATTTATCGTCCACAAGTCTCTCGTTAACAACGTTGTAAAGATTGAGAGTGTGTCGACGAGGGTTGCGTACCTTATAGTCAGAATCACCAAACGGTATTCGCTGAAGGTCATACAGGTTTACGCACCAACATCGGCACACCCCAATCAGGAGGTGGAGGAAATGTGTGAGGATATCTCTAGAGCCATGCATTCCTCCAAAACCCAATATACGGTGTTAATGGGAGACTTCAATGCAAAACTAGGCACAAGAGAGAACGGTGAGCTGAAAGTGGGGAAATTTGAAATAGGGCAACGGAACCCAAGGGGCCAGCAGCTGGCCGACTTCATAGAGAAAGAGGGACTCTTTATGATGAACTCTTTCTTCCAGAAGCGGCCCCACAGGAAGTGGACCTGGTCGAGCCCCGACGGTTCGACAAAAAATGAGATTGACTTCATTATGACGACCAGACGACAACTGTTCAGTGATGTCTCAGTGATCGCGAGGGTGAAAACCGGCAGCGATCACCGAATGGTTAGAGGCACACTGAACCTAACCGTTAAGTTGGAGAGGTCTCGTCTAATGAAGTCAACGCTCCGTCCCCCTCGTGCTCTAATCCAAAGTGCCGAAACCTTTCAGCTCGAGTTACAAAACCGTTTTCAGTGCCTAGAAGACTGCAATGAAGTGGACGATTTGAATGACAAGCTCGTGGAAACTGTCCATGCGGTCGGAGCTAGGTTCTGCAAGACCCGCCGCAGAAGAACACAAAAACTCTCCGATCACACTCTTAATCTCATGGCTGTGAGACGGGAGATGAAGCTACATTCTTCAACAGATTTGACAGCATACAGGCAACTGAACAGACAGATCTCCAAATGCATGCGGCAGACTTACGCAACTTCAATACAGCTCGTATTGAAGAAGCGATCGAGCGGAACCAAGGCTCCAAAGGCTTTGCCAGAGATCTGTCTGCCAGAAAGAGCCAACTGTCAAAGCTGAAGACCGAATGTGGCAGCATCGTTTCCGGGGCACCTGAGATTTTGAGTGAGATTGAGAGGTTCTATGTGCAGCTGTACACGTCATCGTTGGAGCCGCACGCAAGTGTGAGTAACGATCCAAGAGCGAATCTTATCCGACATTATTCCGATGATATCCCGGACGTCAGTCTGAGCGAGATTAGAATGGCTCTCCAGCACCTTAAAAACGGCAAGGCCCCAGGCGAGGATGGAATTACAGCGGAGCTTCTGAAAGCGGGTGGAAAACCGGTACTTGAAGTCCTTCAGAAGCTCTTTAATTCCGTCCTCCATGGAGGTATTACACCGCAGGCGTGGAGCAGAATTGCGGTGGTCTTGTTCTTCAAGAAAGGCGACAACGCTCTCTTGAAGAACTACAGACCGATTTCCCTTCTGAGCCGCGTGCTGTTTTCGAGAGTCATTACGAATCGTCTCGCGCGCAGACTTGACGACTTCCAGCCTCCCGAACAAGCCGGTTTCCGAAAAGGCTTTAGCACCATAGACCACATACATACTCTTCGGCAAATTGTACAGAAGTCCGAGGAGTACAATTTGCCACTATGTCTGGCGTATGTGGACTATGAGAAAGCCTTTGATTCCGTCGAAATTTGGGCGGTGCTGCAGTCCCTTCAGCGATGCCAAGTTGACTGTCGGTATATCAAAGTGTTGAAGTGCTTGTACAGTAGGGCTACGATGGCTATCCGAGTACAGAAACAGAGTACGAAACCTATCCAATTGCAGAGAGGTGTAAGACAGGGTGACGTCATATCCCCGAAACTCTTTACCGCTGCATTGGAAGATGTTTTCAAGCTTCTGGACTGGAAAGGATACGGTATCAACATCAATGGCGAGTACATCACTCACCTTCGATTTGCCAACGATATAGTCCTTATGGCAGAATCGCTGGAGGACCTAAGCACTATGCTCAATGACCTCAATAGTGTTTCCCAACGCATAGGTCTTAAGATGAACATGGACAAAACAAAGATCATGTTTAATGTCCATGTCACACCTATGCCGGTAGTTGTTGGGAACACTAAGCTCGAAGTTGTTGACGAGTATGTTTACCTGGGACAAATAGTCCGATTAGGTAAGTCCAACTTCGACCGAGAGGTCAATCGACGGATTCAACTCGGTTGGGCAGCGTTCGGGAAATTACGGCACATCTTCTCGTCAGGTATAACTTAAAACTTGAAAACGAGACTGTAAAACCAGTGCGTGTTGCCAGTGATGACATACGGAACTGAGACGTGGTCCTTCACTGCTGGCCGGATGAGGAAGCTCAAGGTCGCTCAGCGAGCTATGGAGAGGGCTATGCTCGGAGTTTCTCTGCGTGATAAACTCAGAAATGAGGATATCCTCAGTAGAACCAGAGTGACCGACATAGCCCAACGGATTAGTAAACTGATGTGGCAATGGGCCGGCCATATAGCTCGAAGAACCGACAACCGATGGGGAAGAAAGGTTCTCGAGTGGCAGCCTCGTACCGGCAGGCGAAGTGTAGGGCGTCCCCCCACTAGATGGAGTGACGACCTGGTAAGATATGCAGGAAGTCGATGGATGCAGGTGGCTTAGGACCGTGCTTTGTGGCATTCTTTGGGGGAGGCCTATGTTCAGCAGTGGACTTGTGAAGGGCTGTAATGATGATGATGTTACAAAAAAATTCAACTTTTTTCGATTGTTATCAATATGGCATAGGGCTAGGGTTATCATATCATATCATTTCAGGATTTTTAGACTCTTCTCAGGATTGCGGCGGGATTTTGCAAATCTCATGAAATCTCAGGATTTTTAGAACTTTCAATATAATACAGCTTACATTTTAAAGATCTCTTTAATAAAAAGTTAAACAAACTAAAATAATTTTCCTTTGGTAATAATTCTACAATTAAAATCAAAACTTATTTATCCAAGTAGGTACTTAAACAGTTTTATCATACTTAATATGTGAAGATACCTTTTTAAGTAAGGTTTTCTTCTCAAACTGTAAAAAAATCTCAGGATTATTAAATGGAAATCAGGCCTCTTCTCCGGACTTTTAATTTTTTCATCTGGTAACCCTACATAGGGCTCCATTATCTTCCATTACTTTATGTCTCTACTCGCCAAATAATAAATAATATTACAAAAAATAGTTTATCCTCATTTTGCCACCCTTGGGGGTGGATTTTTTCTCCAAATGTATATGGGACCACCCCTGAAGAAACCCCAATAGATTTAGAGTAGAAAAAATGGCAGTAGGCTTATGACCACACGATAGAAGTGAAATTTTGTTAATTTCCCAACTTAACATATACAACATACACGTTACATATAACAACATACGCGTAAAATTTTAAACTACCCTTGAATAAAGTATTAAATACAATATTATAATATTATTTTATAGTTGCAATACGTAATAAACAAAAACGTAATTATTTGAACGACGCACTCCTTGTCAGACAGTAAACGTGGCTAACGACGACTGGAGCCGAATATACACGAATCAGTACGTCACCGAGCCGAGCGTTCGATATCGAGTGGAGCCGAATAAACCCGATCCAGCGTCACCGAGCCAAGCGTCACGGTTCACTTTCGTTCATTGAAAGAAGAAAGAAATAAATTGACAAACAAACAAACATTCAAAGAATGAATTGACTCACGTCTTCATGTTTCACGAAGGGCTCCACAACGAAGCGCCTCAGCTTGCCCACCGCGGCGCCAACTTGCTGCCCCTTCCCCGAACGTTCTGCGAGCCAACGGCGCACCTCCGCCGCGGTCAAATTCACGCCCACGAGGCCCAGCTTACCCCGCCGCTTGATCAGCTGGTCTGGTTTCACCACCAATTTCTGGAATATTCAAATGAAACTGTGAATCACTATTCCGCTTCATCCGCCTGTAGGAGTTACTCTAGTCTTTAAGTTGCAGCTAGACATGAGATACTCCCGTCGTAATTTTCACTTTATAAAATAAAGGTAATAAACGAACACAGGTTATCTGATGATATGGCTCTATCTATCCTCGATTAAGAATCACAATGTAGAATGCGATGTCACCCCTGAGAACCAAGATTATATGCTTCAATTTCGGTAAAAGTGGTCTCCAGTTCACTACACTCACCATACGAAACACAGCAGCATGGCGCTGTTAATTCACGATGGTATTTTGTGAGAGCGTGGTACATTTCCGGTTGAGCCGACCCATTCGTGCTTTATTTATATAGAATAAGGGCGACAAACGAGCATACAGTCCACCTGATGGTAAGTGGATGCTGTGACCGATAGACATCTACATTTATCCTCAATTAAGAATCAAAATGCAGATGCGTTGACAACCCTGCGGACTGAGATGAAATGCCTCGTTTCCAGTAAAACGGGCTCATTATACGAAAGACATTGAGCTGCTATTCAACGCTGGTATTCTATGAGAGCGTGGTACATTTCCGGTGGAGCATAAAGCAAGCAGCAAAGACAGCACTGTGGCATTGTTTTATGTATATACATTATACATACATACATACACTAGAAACAGAAAAACTTTTATTTAAAATGCAAGTTTTCAATTATGGTGACTGCGTAGCATCACCTTTTTTTTTATACGAGGGTGGATTGAAAAGTACTCGGCCTAACACAGATCCATTCAATTCTAAAAATCAAATCTATCCACATTATTTAGTTCAGTTCAGACTAGTTCATTGTGTGAAGTTCGAAACGTGTGCGATAATTAGTTGTGATTTTATAAATTTATTAACAAAGTAATCGGACATAATTTCCGCGAATGGAGCAAATCGAGCAGCGTGCCGTCATTAAGTACCTCCATAAGAAGGGGCTATCATCAAAAGCCATCCATGATGACATGGTCAGTACATTAGGCGATTGTGCTCTGTCATATTCATCCATCAAAAAATGGATAGCAGAATTTAAGCGTGGTAGAGAGAGTGTGAAAGATGAACCCCGCTCTGGAAGGCCTTCGACGTCAACTACTGACGAAAATATTAAAAAAGTACTTGATTTAATAATGGGAGACCGCAGATTAAAAATTAGAGAGATAGCCGAGATTATAGGCATCTCTTATGAACGAACTCTAAACATCATTGTCAACGAGTTGGGTTTCCACAAGGTGTCTGCGAGGTGGGTTCCGCGACTGCTTTCAGTTGAACAAAAAAGGACGCGATTGACTATTTCACGCGACTGTTTGGAGTTATTTGAAGCCGATGCAGATGATTTTTTGAATAGTTTTGTTACTATGGACGAAACATGGGTTCATTACTGTACACCGGAAACAAAACAACAATCAAAACAGTGGAGAAGACCTGGTTCACCACCCCCTAAAAAGGCTAAGTCGATTTTGTCGGCAAATAAGGTGATGGCTTCAGTATTCTGGGACTCGAAAGGTGTGATTATGATTGATTATCTTGAAAGGGGTCAGAATATAAACTCTGATTACTACTGCACCTTACTACGTCATTTACGAGAGGAAATAAAAGAAAAACGTCGAGGAATGCTCAGAAGAAAAGTCCTGTTTCATCAAGATAACGCCCGTGTTCACACGTCAGTACAGTCAATGGCTGAAATTCACAACTGTGGCTTTGAACTGTTACCGCATCCGCCGTATTCACCTGATCTGGCACCATCAGACTTCTTTCTGTTCCCTAACCTAAAAAAGCACTTGGAGGTCAAAGATTTTCGACAAATGACGAGGTCAAAGCAGCTGTAGACGCATATTTTGACTCTAAGGAAGAATCATTTTTTTTCAACGGTCTAAATGCTTGGAAGGGGAGGTGGCAAAAGTGTATTGAACTTGATGGTGATTATGTAGAAAAATAAAAATATAACTGATTTAGTATTTGTTTATTTTCTTGGTTAGGCCGAGTACTTTTCAATCCACCCTCGTAGGATAGGGTGACAAACGAGCACACAGTACACCTGATGGTAAGTGGTTGCTGTGGCCCATAGACATCCACAACTATCATCGCTTGCGAATCAAAATGCAGATGCGTTGTCACCCGTGAGGACTAAGACGGAATGCCTCTTTTCCAGTAAAATGGGTCTCCGGTTCTCTACACTGACCATACGAAACACAGCAGTTTTAAGCTGCTACTTTACGCTGGTATTCTGTGAGAGCGTGGTCCTTCCCCGGTCACGTATAACCTCAGTGCCAGTATCACCTCAGTGCCAACTAAAATAAAATCACCTCAGTCCCAACTACCGACATTTGATTATCGTAAGATTATTAGCAGACTTTCAGATGTGGTGAAAGTTGTGGGCAAAGTTGACAGATAATTACCTCTTTGGTGATCCATGGGTTCTTCCCGATCTCGTCCTCCCACACGGTGTCCTGCTCGAACACCGCGAACCGACACGGCACAAGAGCCGTACCAGGTGCTATGTGCCTGAAAGCATCGAGCAATTAATGAACTCAGTATCGAAATGGATGTTATAGAATATACAGGGCTGGATTTAAGACGGAGAGAAAGACTGGAAAGCAGGGCTCTAACTGGGTTTATTATTGCAAAAAAGTATTAGTGACAAAGCCACACTGTCATATATCATCAATCCTTCATTTAGGATCAAAATGCAGATGCGTTATCAGACGAAACACAGCAGTATTAAGCAGCTACTTATCTTAGGTATTATTACGAATGCGCCATGTAGAGGCGGTGTTAGAGAGTGCCTGCCCCATATAATCCCGTGGATGCCGTAAGAGGCGACAGAGGGAAACAAATCGGGTGATGGACAGCACCGTTTTCCTAATAACGACTTAAAATAAAAAATAAAATATGCGTGAGTGTCGTGAAACACTCGGTTGGAACGAAGTTCCTTTCGTAGTATATTATTTTTGACAAACGTATTATATTAATGATTAACAAATACAAATAAATAAATTACTAGTCTTTTAAAATGAAGCGTCATTTAAAATAACATTTCTTTCATGGTAAGATAAGAAAAAGTGCGAGGGAAATGGATATTATTCCATCTCGCTTCCTCATAGCCGCCAAGGCCATCTACACTACATTAGAAGGGGTCGTGACGGGAAAATCTTCCAGGTAGTCCGCGCATCCGTCCCCGTACGGTAGTGCTCTCTCGCTCTCGCGCCTCCGCTGTCCTGCTCGCGCTTACAGCGTCGACGCCTTGGTGAGTCATTTTACGCTAACTCCAGTTATTACCTCCCTGTCTCCGGGCAGGGCGGTTTGACTGTTGGTCTTGCTTGTTATTGTTATTTTTATTGTTAATTCTTTTGTTAACTATTTCTAATTTTGTTTTCGTTATTTATTTGTATAACGTGTACGTGTATATACTGTTTCTAGGGAGTTACTTGCTCTTTTCAGAGCAAGGCCCTGCTCTTTTGAGAGCAGGGGCACTTACTCCTAGAATTAAAAACGTCCCGTTCTTCTCAGAACGGTGATCCCGCCCTTACTGTTTAGGTACATAACGTCTCTGTTCTTTTCAGAACAGCACCCACTAGCCCCTTCCGTATCAAATACGTTTCGTAAAACTACTGCCCTCAACATGTCCACAATTACCCAAATTAAGTCCCTCGTCGCCGCCCTAAACCAAATTCTTGGTCTGGGCCTAAACCTCGATGAGACGGCCCTTGCCGCCATCGCCGCCCATGTTACTCCCCCTGCCCGTCAGGCACTCCAACCGCCGCCCGTACTTGCGGCCTACCTAGAGACAAAGAACTCTTTCGCCCCATTAGAAATGGAGTACGCATGCTCCGAGTCCTCTGCATCGGCCTCCCGGAAGAGGCCCGCCACCAATTCTGGCACCGGCTCATCGGAGTCCTGTGACTCCGACGGAACCGGGGATTCTTCGTTCACCACGGTGAACTCCAAGCGCAACGGTAAACGCGCCGCTAAAAACCGCACCCTCCCTGTCTCAGCGGCCCCTGCCGCTCCTTCAACCTCCGCAGCTCCCGCTGCCGCCTCTGCCCCTGCAGCCCCCGCCGCTGCCTCAGCCCCACTTATGTCACTAGACATTCCCGCTCCGACCAAGCCAGCCTCTCGCTGTGCTCCAGTCCTTGCCAAGAAGCAAGTCCCGCCCCCTGTCTTCCTAAGAGACAAGGCTAAATTCACAGAACTCTCCAAAACCTGCTACAACGCAGGCATAAAATATGACCACGCCATCAACCTCGGGGAGGCTATTAAGATCATCCCCCAATCAATCGACGACTTCCGGCAACTCACCAGGCTATTCACAGCCGAACGAGTTTCTTATCATACATACGCTCTTCCGGAAGAGCGCAAAGTCAGGGCCGTCATCCGCGGCGTCCCCTTCGAATTTTCAAACGAAGAAATCCTTGAGGACCTTAAGTCCCAAGGTTTCCCCGTAGAAGCCGTGCACAAAATGCACAGTAGAACAGGCCAGAGGTTCTCTCTTGCCCTAGTAATTTTAACCAACGTGCCGGAGGCGAAAGCCATCTTCCGGCAGGTACGCACAGTGTGCGGCCTGTCGAGAGTGAGGGTTGAGCCTCCACATAGGCGCGGGTTCCCGGCGCAGTGCCACCGCTGCCAGCTGTATGGTCATGCGGCGGCCAACTGCTCCGCCCCACCCAGGTGCGTTAAGTGCCTTGAACCCCACAACACTAAAGAGTGTCCTCGGCCCAAAGACGCCGAATCCCCACCCGCGTGTGTCCTGTGTAAACAAACGGGCCACCCGGCTAACTACAGAGGCTGCCCTTGCGCACCTCATCCTCGCCCCAGTAGGCAAGCTCCACCGCCGGTCAATGACCGCTCATTCCCGGCTCTTTACCAACGGATGCCCCGTCAGGGCCTTTCTCAGCCCACCCAGGGCTTCTCTCGACCCTCTCAGGGTCCTCCTAGGCCCCCTCAGGGCACTATTCGGCCCCCTCCGGGCTTCTCTCAGCCTATGCAGCCTCCAGTTTTTCCCTGGGGCCCCAAAAAGGCAGTACCACCGCGGACATCCTCCGCCCCTCAACCACAACAATCACAGCCCTCAATGGCTGATGACCTAAAAACGGTGTATTCCGCAATTAGGAACATCAACGTTGAGGAAATCGCTGTGTTAGCACGCAAATTGCGCGCTGCGAGGTCCCCTCAGGACCGTCTCCTCGCTCTTGCAGAGCATCATAATCTTTTGTGCTCATTGTAAGTTAAGTTAACTTAATTAATTTAACTCACAATGACAGAGCAGTTTGCTCTACCAAAATCCCACGGTCGTATCAAACCTAAGGGTTTATCGCTTGTATCCTTTAACATTCGCGGTTTGCGAAATAACCTCCCAGAGCTTAAGCTCTTTCTTCAAAATCGTGAAACCGATTTCCTCCTCCTACAGGAAACTAATCTCAATACTAAGGACACTAAAGGCCTTTCCATCAAAAACTTCTCTCTTCTTCGTAATGATAGACCCGACCGCCGAGGCGGCGGTACGGCCATTTATTACAAGAAGACACTTCACTGTTCTCCCATCTCTACTCCGCAACTTTCCAACATGGAAGCCACAGTATGCAGGCTAGCTATGACTGGACATCAGTCCATCTTCATAGCCTCCTGTTACATCCCTTCTAAAACCCTTCCCCTCAAAAAAGATTTTGAGGCTATTTTATCTCTAGGCAATTCAGTCATTATGTTTGGAGATTTTAACTCCAAGCATACTGAATGGACATGCCGTACTACCACCCGTAGTGGCAAGTTACTGCTCGATATCACGCAGTCTCTTGATATTACCGTCCACAGTCCTCTCGGTGTTACTCACTTTCCCGATAACACCGACTATGCCCCCGATGTACTAGATTTTGCGTTACTCAAAGGAGTTTCTCTCAACCTTAGGGCAATCGAGACACTAGACGATCTAGGATCCGACCACCGACCGGTCTCTCTCATTCTTGGCCATCAGCCACCACTCCCAACACCCTCTACTAAAACCTTCACAAATTGGAAGGGCTTCAAGGAGTCCCTAGCGAAAGCTCTGGACTCACAGGACTCCCCCATCTCCCTATCTTCGGACTTAGACAGTCCTGAAAAAATCGACACCGCGGTCGATTCACTCTCCACCCTTATTAAAACCTCCCTTAAGGAGAATGAAAGGGTCGTCCCGGTTGCTAATAATAGTGGGCTTCCCCTGCATATTAGCAACCTATTAAAAGCCAAAAAAGCTGCTTTCCGGAGAGCAGCAAAATATCCCACGCCCGAATATAGGCGCACGGCCAATCGTCTTCAACGAGAACTCCGTTTCCGCCTCTCTGAATTTCGAGACCTCGAAAAGAGTAAGCTCATGGAGAATATCTCTCCCTCTCATACAGCGTACTATCAGATGGCAAGAGCCCTCCGCATAGACGCTATCTTCCACACTCCCCCTCTCTCCCGTCCCGACGGTACGGTAGCCTTCGAGGACGAGGAAAAGGCTGAGTGCTTTGCAGACAGCATTGCCGCTCAATGCTCTCCTAGCTCTCAACCCGTAGACCCCTCACACGTCCAGGCAGTGGAGGATGAGGTCCGCCGCCGGAACTCGCCCCCTACAGCCTCCGAACCTATCTCTGTGTCCAATGATGAGCTTTCATCCCTCATCAAAGGACTTAAGCCTAAAAAGGCTCCGGGCGCGGATGGCATCTCCAACCAAGCCCTAAAAAACTTTCCTGAGCAGGTGCTAACCCTTTTATCTATTATCTTCAATGCCTGCTTCAACCTTAGTTACTTTCCCACTACGTGGAAAGAGGCAACTGTGATTGGTATTCCCAAGCCAGGCAAGCCTCTTAATCTCCCCTCCAGTCATCGTCCCATTAGCCTCCTCAAGGCCATGGGCAAGCTCTTTGAAAGAGTCATTCAAAATCGCATGAGGCGCCATCTGTTTCCCACAGACGGTGACCCTCTTATCATTCCCCATCAATTCGGTTTCCGAGCGAAACACTCCTGCCCCCAACAAGTTCACCGTATTGTGGAATATATCCTCAGCGGTTTTTATCCCCGTCGTCATAAGACTATCGCGGTCTTTTTCGACATCGCCAAAGCCTTCGATAGAGTCTGGCATACAGGCCTTATCTACAAACTATACAAAATAGGTCTCCCCGATCGTCTAGTACGTCTCGTGGCCTCTTATCTTAATCATCGTACCTTTCGTTTTAGACACGAAGGCACGCTATCTTCACAGCGCCCCATCAAAGCTGGTGTCCCTCAGGGCTCAGTTCTTGCTCCTCTGCTGTACATACTGTTCACCAACGACATTCCCATTCCGCCGAAAGGTGTTCAGCTCTCCCTCTTCGCAGACGACACTGCTCTCTACTGCAAAGGTATCTCGCTACCTTTCATACGGAACAAGGTCCAGAAGTCAGTTGATGACCTAGGAGCTTGGTTCAAAAAATGGCGCATCGATGTGAACCCGGAGAAGAGCTCCGCCGTTCACTTCGATTATAAACGACGCCGTCTCAAAAACACTC